ATGAGAATAAAAACCTGGAACTGATTATAATGATTTACTATGATCAGTTACAGGTTTTCATTCTCACGCACTCATTTTTGATGTAAGATTATGTAAGAAGCGAAAAGTTAAAAGTTTATTATACTGTTACACGTGCGCAGATTTAACTTTAATGAAAAGTAAAACATTTATATATTCAAATGTTAAAAATTTCCCTCTTACCAGTATGTCTCAAATGTAATGGTGATTAAAATGTTATAACTTTTAAGGTATAATAAATAATAAAGCAAAAGTGACTCACCTCATCCAATAAATCGTTTGAACACCAGTTTTATTTTCAAGTTTATTCAAACGAAAAGTACCACTTTGATGAATTACACGAAACATTCGAATGCTAACTTTATCGTAAAAAGATAAGGGGTTAAATCATTTACCTTTCTGGTTCTTGACGGCGAACCTGGTGGAATTGAAACCGTTGATGTGGTTTCATCAGAATCATCGTATTCACTCACTTTAGCGTATTGTATTTTACGTACACAGCATGCGATTACGAAAATGCAGTGTGTTATAATTTTAATAAATTTAATAATATTATAGAACCAGCCCTAAATGTCAAAGCGCATTGACCAAGAGTATATATCTTCTAAAGCGTCTTCTGAAGTTGTGATACTCTATAAATCCCAGACTCTTTACATATTTCAAACTTCCAACGTATCATCTACAAGAATATATGTTGGAAACATTCAAATATATAATAACTTTATATCATTATACATGCCAGTAACATTTATTGCGAATACTTCTCTCATCTTTATTGCCATATTTCTAAACGTTCTTTTAGTTTAGGTAGAATTAATAGAATCTTTTGCAAACCTATTCAAGTTTCTATGATTACGTTCTTGCCTGGCTTGTAAAGAATCTACTGGCCAGTTTCAAGTTACCCAATTTCAGTTCTACTTTCTATCAGTGTTATAACTACAGTAAAGTCTGCGTACAGTGCCCTTTTTTCGAGTTCTTTCTTTCAACGCTGGCTGTACATCACCGCTATGAATTTGAAAATATCATCATCAGTTACTATTCTTAAGAACTAATCACACTAAAATCATAATAATATTTACTATACGACCCATATCTCAGCATTTATCGGTAAGTCAGTTGTGGCAATATTTAATAAAAGTGAACGCATTTCTCATACAAAGACCCTTCATTATTAGGGCTTTTTATTAGATCTATACGATTTCTATTTTGAAGACTCCCATACCAATCCCAAAAATATAAATGTTTATTACAATGCTCTTAAGAATTTCCCAACTATTCAAGTCGATCCAAAAATTCTCCGTATAAAACATCTCCATGTTATTCATCGTGATTCTTCTCTGTTTTTTCGAATACAAATTTCTTACAAATATCCTTTAATGTTTCATCATACTGTATCAAAAATTTTCTGCCTGAAGCCTTGAAGATGTTGTTATCTTCAGATCATGCGATAAAAAGCTATCATCCAAAATCATATTCAAGTTTATTTATATTTTTTTTCATTTTTAATATTTTCTACATGGATTTTTCATTCTCGTTGGAGGTTGATAACATAAGCTATATTATATATCGGTTAATAAAGTGATAATTTCTTAAAAAATGATTATATATACAAAATTCAAGTGGATAAAAAGAAAATTTACTACTCTGTGTTTAAATAAATTATCCTGTTTATAAATATTTATTTTTGGACGCGTTAATTTAGGTAAGTAAAAAAAAATTTATACTTTATGTATCTAAAATAAGTTATTCAATTTATTAATCTTTACTATTTAATTTCGTCTGGTCGCATTGATTTAGATAAGTGGAAAAAAATTTACTACTCAGTGAATTTAAAGTAACCCGGGTTATGAATATTTACTGTTTTTTGTGTGTTTAAAGTAAGTCATTTTGTTTATGAATGTTATTATTTAATTTAATTCCATTTTGTCATGTTAATTTAGGTTAGTATAAAGAAAATTTAATACCCCTATATGTTTAAAACAAGTTATTCGGTTTATGAATATTTATTAATTAATTTCATTTGGTAACATTAATTTATATGAGCAGAAAGTATTTAAAATAAGTTATGTAGTTCATGAATATTTACTATTTAATTTTAATTGGTTACATTAATTTAGGCGAGTGAAAGAATATTTACTATTTAATTGCATTTTGCTGTTAATTTAGGTGATTGGAAAAAAATTTTAATTTTTTGTTTAAAATAATTATTTGGTCGGTTAATTAAGTGCATAAAAGAAATTTTAATACTCTGTTTAAAATAAGCTATTCAGTTTATTGAATATTTACTGCTTAAGTCTATTTGATTGCATTAATTTGGGTGAGTAAAAAGAAAATTTAATACCTTCTATGTTTAACATAAGGTATTTCGATTTATGAATATTTACTATATATTTGATTTCATTTGGTCACATTAATTTAGATGAATAGAAAGAAAAATTAATATATTATATGCTGAAAAAAGTTAGTTATGACTCTTTACGTTAATTTAGATGAATAGAAAGAAAAATTAATATATTATATGCTTAAAAAAGTTAGTTAGTTATGACTCTTTACGTTAATTTAGATGAATAGAAAGAAAAATTAATATATTATATTCTTAAAAAAGTTAGTTTATGACTCTTTACTATTTAGTTTCATTTCTGCGCATCAATTTAGATGGTTGATTCATTTCTTCACGTTAATTTAGGTGAGTTGATTCATTTCTTCACGTTTAGGTGAGTTGAAAGAAATTTAATACTATATGCATCTAAAATAAGCTATTTTGTTCATGAATATTACTATTTATTTTATTTAGTTACTTTAATTTAGTGAGTAAAAAAAAATTAAATCTTTAATAAGTCGTTTAGTTTATACCATGTCGTGAAATAACGACCCGGGGCATTATGTTGAGACGCATTGCTCGGGCATTATGTTGAGTCACATTGCTAATAATTAATTTAGCTGATGATTCATATTAGGTTAAATTAATTATTAGCTCTCTTCAAACAATGTATCTTAAAATAACACCCTGGGGTGTTATTTCGCGATAATATTGTAATATTTACTATTTAATTTTATTTTGCTACACTTATTTAGATGAATAAAAAAATTTTTAACACACTGTGTATTTAGAATAAGTCATTCGGTTCATGAATATTTATTATTTAATTCTATTTGGTCACAATAATTTAGAGAAGCAAAACAATTTAATATCCTGTATTTAAAATAAGCTATTCGGTTCAAGAATATTATTATTTAATTTTATTTAGTTGTATTATTTAGATAAATGGAAAGAAAATTTAATGCTCAATACATTTAAAATAAGCTATTCAGTTCATAAATATTTGCTTCTTGATAGTTATACTAGAGTCATTGTGATGAAGTAGCTGTTGGTGAAATAGAATATCGACAAAATGGGTGTTGAAGAGATGAAGTCGTGAAAGTATGCTGTCTAGAAATTGGGCTGTTGAAAAGTGGATTCGTGGTGAAACGGATGTTAGCAAAATGGGTTCCGATGAAATAAGTATGAAGAAATCTATCGAATTTGTTTATTTAAATATTTAAATAATAAATACATTTTTTACGTATAGATTAAGTTATTATAAATGTAATTAAGCAAAATAATAAATTGTAAATTTGGATATTTTTTAAAATTAACAAAATTTTTTTATGACAGTATTTACTAAATTAGCACAAATAAAATTGAATAATAATATTTATCAATTTAGTTTATTTAATTCTTAATAAAAATTTTTATAAATACAAATTGCTAATTCTTTTTAATAATTACTTGTATTAAAATTTTTTTTAAACAATAGTTATTTTAATATATTATTAAGTAAACTAACTTACATATTTAAGTAAGGTTATTTTTTATAAAATTTTATATTTAGATAGCTAGATTTGGGTTATAGCTTAGTATTAAGCCTCCAAACCCTTACAGATTAGATCAACAGTTCAAGTTAGGCTAAAGACAAAAAATATTTTATAATTTAATAGGAGTTATAATTGTAATACAAAATTTGTAAAACAAGTTCAAATAATATATAAAATAAAATATTTAAAAGAAATCTAATTATGAAGCAGTAGTGCTATATAATAGTAATATTACAAACTATTTTATTGTACAAAAATTATACAAATAAGTCTTTTGAAAACAAAAACAATATTAACATCTTTATAGCTAACTTGTAAGATATTTGCTTGAAAGAATAATATAATAGTACCAAAATTAAAGTAATAAGAGAAATAGTAAATATAAAAATAATTTGTAAAAAGAATTTGTTTTACTATTTTTAAAATAGTTTTTGTTAAATTTTGCAGGTTGTAATATTACAGATTAATATATGTTTAAAAAAAATTAAAATTGTTGTTAGTTAGGGTTAGAGTTTAAGCTAGTATTAGAAGGTATATATATATACAAAATTAAGTGTTGAAAATTTTTAATTAGAAGCCTAAGACTAGTTTACAAAATGAAATTTTGAGATATTAAAAACTTTGATTTTTTTCTTAATTTTTTTTAATTTTCGTTTATTTTTGTTATACAAGATTTTGTGATCTAATTGGTTGATCATATTAATCTGCAATATAAAAATCTGCAATATTTAACAAGATTCTTTAAAATATCTTTAATATATATTTATAAATATTATTAAAGACTAAGATATAAAAGTAACTTAAATTCTTGATATATATAAATAAACTAAATTAGGATTTAATTAAATCTATATAGAAGTTTTTAATAAATAAAACTAAAATTAATTAATTATTAAAAATATTATATCAAATATAATATAATATTATTCAACTCTTTTTAATGATTCTTTGGTCAATAACTTCAAAAACTAAACTACAGAAAACATATAAGAAGATACCAAAATAGTTAATATACTTAATCTACACAAGTAGATATATTAACAAAGTAATAAGAGTATAAAATCAATAAGCAGACTACTTGAATAGTTAATACTAGTGGTAACTTAGTAAAGTAGTAAGTTGTCACATTTCTAAGCAGTATATCTAGTGTTTAAATTTCACTAGTGATAAAATTTGAATATTTTATTATTAGTCTAGAGCAAAGTGAAAAACTTTCTATTTCTACATAAAGTATGATTTGCATGGTTTCTGTCTGTTTGCCCACATAATCACAAACCAATCATATTTTACTAATTGACAAAACCTACATATTTTATGCTTCAGACTTATACCAGTTCCTGGTTCCTAGTATATATTATAGTTACTA